GAAGTATATATTTCTGGGTCTTTGAATCTAATCGAAGTTCTTAAAAAATTGTCATTTACTAATTTTGTTTATTTTGGTCATTCATTTAATCACAAACAACAAACCTCAATGTTTTTATTTAATCTAGATTCTAATTTTTGGTTTTGACTAGATTGATCCCTAAATACTATTTTGTTTGCTGCAAACTTAGAATTATTTCAGGATGAAAACTCGGTCACATCAAATACTCAAATTTGTGACTTTGAATATTGTTTTCATTGAGTTGCTTTCGTTCACTAGTCGAATTACCAGCTTAAAAATTCCCCACTTAAGTATTTTTTTTTTTTGTTGGTAAAAGTACTGTGCCGATTGCCGAATGTGTTCCCAACTTAAGTATTTACGAAATAAAATAAAAAATTACTACGTAAAAGTGTGCCGAATGTGTATCACGTGCGGTACGTTATGCTTTATGATGTTGATCTTTCATGCTGCTTTTTTGATTAAGATGGAAAAAAAAAAACTTATGCTTTTTGTTCTCCTGAGTAAAATATCTTGTGCTTTCTTTCTACTCGTATGTGGCTGTGTCTCTTCTTCGTGAATGGAGGTCAGCCACTCTTATTCACAACCTTAAAATAGTTTTTGTTGTCCCAATTTAGAACTTAGTGGTGGAAGATCAGATATATAACAGCCTTGTCATGGAACCACCATAGATTTGACACCATTGGACCAAAAACCTTAGGCAAAAATAAAGTTATCACTCCAACACAAATGTGCACGTATGAAAAGAGTAGCAATATTATAAACAGAAAGAGACAGAAAAACAAACTTTTTGAACGAGGACAAGACAAACGAGGGTGAGCATTTCTGCTGATTCTATTTTTGGTTCAGAATTATTTTGGTACCAAAATAGTGTAGGTTTGACTAATTCGATTTAGTTTAACTTTTCTTAGTCAATGATATCACTACCAATGTGTCTTTTACAATAATTAGAGGTACCATAAGTAGGTACAATAAGTAACACATTAACATAAATGTGCCCAAATAACATTTAATTTCCTCAATGTTGTATTAGTCTTTGTGAAAAGTTTAAGCCAAAGATGACTATATACATTTTAAATATTCATCGTTCAAATGAAATATCTAGCAATTTGGTCAGGTTTTTGATAACTCTATGTAGAAGTTAATTTACATTTTAAAAAAAAAAACTATATGATGCTAATCCACGATATCCGGCTACTCAAGATGATAACTCAGTCACAATAAAAACACTGAGTTACATATCAAAAATAACATATTGTCTGATGAGAGTCTGAGGGAAATAATGCAGGTTACCAGCAATGATATTTCCATTATTTTATTCAAATGAATATGATTATTTTCAGGTATTACTGCTCACTTAGCTCCTTATGTAGTTTCCTAAGCCAATGTAAAAATTGGCTGAGAGTATCAGAACATTATTAGTAGAAGTCTTTCAATGAGTTTTTCATATTAAATAGAAAAAAAAGGAAAAGGAAGAGAAAGAATAAGAAAAAAATTTCAAATAAGAAACTTTAACAAATCCATGAGAAAATCTTCTTTCACTTCTGATTGATCTAATTGAGATATTTTTTAATTAACTATTAATTTAATTTATGTTCATATTTAAAACTATGTGTAGACTTCAATTTTTTTTTTTGTGTAGATTTAAATTGAGATACCCAAGTTGAGAAAATCAAGATCTTGTGAACCTGACCTAACAAACTTCCCCGTAATTTACAACCTTCTCGAACAATGTCTGTTCCCACCACCATGGGACATTTCAAATGTAATTCAGATGCTTTTTGGAATCTGGTTTGGGTGTAACTGGTATTGGTTGGGTGGTGAGGGACTCGGAATGTGAAGTGAAATAGTTTTAGCTAGTGATCCATTTTTGGAAATTTCTCAAGCGTGGATGCAGAACACGAGTCGGAGAATTAGATTCTTTTCTGGTAGACGATTGGTTTATCTATCAGCAAGAGAGAATAACTGAAAAGTCTAAGTGATGTCCATGTGATATGTTTTGATTCATCAGTTTTTAAAAAGTGAAAGCTCGACCCAAAATAAATAATTATGGATTTTTTTTTTTTTGGAAAAGTTCGATAGTTATCCATAAAACTTCAATAAAATTTTGGATTTGGTTAGTAAGCGAGATAAAATTTAGAAAACAGAATAATAGAATGATGATAAAATAATATAACTTTTTAAGCTGAATAAAAACAGATTATATAGAAATGATATTTTGTTGTTTCTACTCAAATTCCGTAATATATAGCAGAATAATTTTTAAAACATGAAGACGTAAAAAAAAACATTGATGAATATTCTGAATAATGAATATTAAAACATAAAGAGTAAAAATTGAAAATATCTTAAGAGAAAGAAAGAGAAATTGTATCTTCTTCTTCGGTCAGAGAAATTTCATCTTTTACAGCCGATGAGCCGACATCTTAAAATATCTAAAAAATATACTTGTTTTAGGGTTAAAAAGGATAAAATTTTATGTAACCTATGCGAAGATATGTCGGCCGTATAAAAGCGACAAATATAGATTTGGGTTCAATTGAAGAGGCTTTATGTGATATCCACCGAGAAGATCCCATCACATGACCCATCTCTCTTTTTACTTCTTCATACACAGTCACACTTTGTTTTTTAACGTTGGTATCTGCAGTACAATTTTTGGAGGTGATTCATCTAGATTTTTCGATGATTTTTTTTCCTCTGATATATTATTTGACATTGAAGCTAAGCTCTTTATTTTAATATTTGTTTTTTTACGTACGTACTATAGTCTATACTCTATACTGTAGGGGGTATATATTTCTGTTTCCCTTTCATGTTCTAAAGCTTATGATACTAACATTTATATAAAATATAGACGACTTTTAAAAATCTGCTTTTCAGTCCTGAAGATAAATGGGGGATACTTTGAATTTGATGTCTTGTGTCGTTGTGACATTTAAAATCAGGACTATGAGCATGCATGCATCTCTTTTGTGTGTGTATGATGTGATACTTAATTAACCACACAAATAAAGCCCTACATTTTCCTTTGTGTGATTTGGTCCAAGATTTTTATTCAAACACCGACATAGTGCACACTATCAAAAAGTATTTCTGATTTTGGGAGGAACACTTTCTCTCAAAATAATAATAATAATAATAATAATCATTGTCCAAATTCAAATAACTAATTGACAAGATAATTACGTCGTGAATTTTACATTGTAAACGTTTGAAGACGTGCTGGTTGATTGGTCTCAAGTGTATTAGAAGAAGCCCATCGTACCCGTTTAGTGGATTTTCTAATGTATTCAAAGCATAACATCATTTCGTTTGTCAAATCTCACTCTTTTTCTTTCTTCAATAAACATTTTTCTCTCCTCCGTTTTATAAAAATACTTAGAGCATCTCTTAGCAGATATTAGGCTCAAAATCCTAGGAATTTAGCATTAAAAATAAAGAAAAAATCTAAATTTTTGATGTATCGCTCTTTATATAAGAGATATAAGAGGCAGTCTCTTACGCCACGTGTACGATGGTGATTGGGCACATTATTTATTTATTTTTGTTTTATTTTCATTTCTCTCTGTCTCGTGTTCTTTCACTCTGGTTTTCATCGAACAAATTTTTTCTCTCATCTGTGTTCATGAAGAGACGACGATGGTGCAAGGCGGAAAGAGAAGACGATGGAATCAACTCAAAAATCCAGAGTACGGGTTTCCCGGCGAGAAAGATTTTGATTTTCGTCGTCTCCGCAAAAACCAACCCAAAAAAATCGCAGAAAAGAAAAAGCAGAGAACAGAAGAAGCAGAGAGAAGAAACAGATAACAGAATTGTTTTCTGTTTTTCAATGTTTGGGATCCTGGATTTCGTTGGGGTTTTGTTGGAGGAGCCACCGCAACCGTAAGCGGCGGCATGAGAACGACGGCGAGCAGTGGAAGAGCTGATGATTTGCTTAGATGCAAGGAGAGTGATGCTTGTGTGCCATGTGATCGCTGGGAAATTTCTTCTTTTTTTTCTTCCACTTCTTCTTCTTCACCTCACACCCTTAAAGTAAAGAAAACCTCTAAAACCCAATTCTGTCGACTGACCGATCACAATTACCATGGCTTCAAACGGCGCTTCTCCGGTCAAATTGATAAAATTGATAAACAGAGATGATGGGTTACACTAATGGAAGAGAAAAAAAAGAAGAATTTTTTTAACTTTTCTAACTTCCAAAAAAATTAATAAATAAATCTGAAGAAACTCAACATAAATTACACTGATGGAGATGCTCTTATATATTTCTCCTTTTTACCATAAAAACTCAAATAGGATATGTCATGAATCTCTTTTTTAAGACTAGACATAACTTAACCACGTTTTTATCTCAGGTATTTCCGTTTTATTGTGCCAAATTTTGTGGTCAAAATATTGTTTTTAACTTGGAAGAGTCCTCAAAGAACACCACAAGAGTGCTTTAAATTTCCACGTATTTGTTTTTTACTCGCGGTAAACTTGTCCTCACTAGTTGATGGATCAATAACATGATTGTTCCCACGACAATAATTATATGAATGATAAAATGAAGAGAAATGTGAAGAGAGATGGTTGATAGAAAGAAATAAATTTCATCAATATCTATATCCATTTAAATGAATTTAAACCTCAATTTTATTTGGTTTGAAGATGAACCGCTCTTGTTTCTTTTTTCATATGTATAGCATTGTAGGTTTCGAATTTTTCAACGATAGAATCAAGATAGTATATATGCAGAGTGAACCAAATTTCACAAATATTGTAATCCCGCCCCTACTTGTATAGAATGATAAAGAAAAATTCACATATTGTTTACACAGAATTTCTACATATACACATAGCATCTTTAAACCAACAATGTGAAAATTCGACGTAAGAAACAAAAAAAGTGAGAATTCTTAACTAAAATCATTTAACCTTTGAAAAAAAAAATGCTTAAACTCGTTAAGCATCGTTTTTGTTTTATTTTTATTTCAAACTTAAATCTCGAACTCTGTGATATAACTTAACCTCGTTGAGGTTAGTGATTGCATGGCCACTAAAAACCGGTACAACTCAACAAGCCTGATTTCAAGGCAAACCGATTCGGTTTTCAATCGGTTGTTCTCCCTTGATATGAAATTACCACTCCTTAAAACATTGGCCAGTCGGTTTTTCAGCTCTTGGTTCTTTAGGTTTAGCCGGTTTACCTCTTCCGTTAAGTCCTCAAAGCGTCTCTTCTTTCTCAACCTCGATCTCTTTGCTGATTCCCGATTTGACATCGTCCGTCTTCTCTTCTTCTCATCAACTGGTTCTACCAACTCGTTTGAACCACTTGATTTGTCCAAATCGCTTGATTGAAGAAACGCCAAAATTTCTGTGATTTCATCTCCGGTTATCATTGCATCTTCAAAGCAGATATGAACCGGCTCTAAATTGGTTGAAAACATTGCTATTTGTAGAAGAGAAATCCGGTTTAGTATTGGTATAAGTGGTAGGTAAGCAAGAGAATGAAAGAAAGAGGGGAAGGGGAAGGGGAAGGGGAAGATTCAAATGAACCATGGATGCTTATTTATAGAGAAAGGAGTCAGAACACGTGGGGGCCTATTTAGAGGTTACCCTGTCCACTATAAAAGTGCCATGTATTTAAAATGTCTTTATCAGACTAAATCTAAGAGATTAATTGCAATGTTTGTCCATTAGCGCTCTGGATATTGTTATTACTTTTTTTTTTTTTTTTTTTTATCCTTTGATGCCTTTTGTTTGGGCATTGCTTTTTGACCTTTTTCCTTTAATCTCTTAGCATTACTTTTCTAACTACAAAGATAGTGTAATAGTTTCACATTAATTTTCGTTGTAAGTTTAGTGTATATTTGTATTTTGCGATTAATAAAATGCAAGTACGACTACCATCAGCACTGAAGGTTAAGTATATCACAAACTCACAATGTTTTACATCTCTATGAGAAACAACACATGTTAAAAACTATATATGTAAAAGGTAAAATACTAGACGTCGGTTCAATAATATCTGAAAAGTTAACGTAAACTATATAATTACTAATTTGTTATATGCATGGTTTTTACTGGTCATAATTTTTTTTTTGGGGGTTAAATGTGGACATTCCAAGCCGAAATTCAAATTAAACCTACAAGACCCATAAAAATTCAGATGTTTTCATTAAAAGCGTCTTGTGGCCATCCATGATTGAAATCATAATAGGAAGACTCGAACTTTGGACTAAACCTACAAAATGAATCCTAAAGACCACTGAACCATTGTGAGATGGTTTCTCTAGATCATACTTTTTTACTAAAGTTTTTTCTCTGATAATAGTTACATTATACCTGAAACGAAAGATTTGGTGTTTGTATTCAGCTTTGTCCGTTAAGATTTAAGTGGGAGAAAATGGAGCGTGGGTGTTGACGAAGAAGATGAGAGCTTAACTTAACGACGAAGAATCTAACAAAAAGCATATTACGACTAAGTTTTTTTATGTGTTTGGATTTTCTTATCTTTTTTGATAAGATAAAGTAAACAATACAAGTGAAACTACAGCTGCATTCTCTTTATAGTGTATGTTAGTAACTTAGCATGTATCAATTTAATCATTTGTTTTTATAACATTTCCATAGACAAAATTGTGTCAAAGATATTTCAGTATTTTTGTATATCTTTTATAATTTAAATGAAAAATTATCCATTAAAAAGTATGATACTATGATCTAGTTTTTTATTCTTTTATTTTATATCAACTCTTTTGATTAAAATAAATAAATTGGAAAAAAATAAACAGATATAGATGTACTAAATTTTAGAAAGTAATTTTTTTTAGTTAGATAACGCAAACATTAGTCGTGAGAATGAAAATTGGTCAAAGATAAGTATCTTTGGAATCCTTAAAAAACCTAAATTTATTATATATATATATATATATGGAATATATATATGGTGTACATAATGGACAACCGTTTTTGAAAAATCATTGAGACAACTCAATCTAGATACAGTGGCGGAGAGAGTATGTTGGGAGGGGGTGCAATTTACCCAGGTAAAATTCAATTTTTTTTTATAAATATTTATATTTTTTATATAAAAGCTAGATATAATATTAATAATTTAGCTAAATGACCCCTGTAAAATTTGTTTAAAATACATTATAAATTAAAATTGACCCCGTACATTTTTTTTCTAGCTCCACTGCCTACATACATATATGATAAATCTCCAACCAATTATAAACTATAAGGACTTGGTTGAGATGGTAATTTTATCTTCGTAAATCGTAGAAGTCAATCAACATGACAACACATAAATCATTTGTTTACTAATATTTTTTTTTGTCGTCATATGTTAACTAATATATATCCATTGTTATAGTAAGTTTTAAAAGAGTATATAAACAAAATGTGAAAAGGCGTTACCAATAAGTTAAAATAAGTATCAGTCCAAAAAAAAAGGGAGAAGTTAAATAAGTATTCTTTACACATGACATTGGTACAGAATTCATAAATTTATGAGAAATAGGGTTACAAGTGATTCGTGAACATTTTAAAGCATTATATTATATGGTAATGCATAGTGGTACCATTAGTGCTGGAAAAAAATAATCCGTTCGATTTTGCTATCTAATATCCACATAGTTTTCACCATTATTTTTCAAGAATTGTATGTCATCGAAATCGATTCACCGGCATTTTTCGTAATGCTGCTTTCAGTTGCCGGAAATCGCCTTAATTTGATTTGGAGATTTGTAGGTGAAAATCCTGACGTACTCTGTTTGCTCTGTTAACCGTTAACTTCACTAATTCTGATGCGTGGTCAATGATGAGTTGAAAAATTGTTTTGCAACCATAATAGTTGTGTATTTTATTTATGCTGATTGCAAATAATTGAAGAATTAAATAAACAATTAGAGTATTCTATATCCCATATTCTTTTGTCAAAATTTCAAAGATTAGGGTAGCAATCTTTTTTTTTTTCACTCTCTTTTTGCCTACAATTATTTGCAGTTTAAAGGATGTTAAAGACCTTACTATTCTTATATTTGACTTTTGTAATCACGTTTCAAGAAAATCTAGTCTCCACTGTGTGTGACTTTCTGTGACTTTTGTTAGTGGACTCAAACATGCACCCACATTTCACAACTTCTATTAACCGAATCTATATTTTAACACAATTCTTTTTGTTAAAACCGCAAACAGAGTTTTGTCATCTCATTAGTAAATCTAATACCAAATCTAATACCAATCTATATTTTAACATGATTCTTTTGGTTATTAATAAAATAGAAACATTAGTTTAACCTCAGACACATCATTTTGTCCTCTAACTAAGACATGTCCACCAAGTTGGATTCATGTGCTTCTTTCCCATTTGCCGACCTTAATTTTGTTTTTATTCTTTAGCCTTCCACATTCTCAAGTATACTCCAAATAAAAGCAAAAAGCAATTTCTTTTCACAAATTTTAATAATCCACGCTTGTGTATCCAAAAAACAAGTTCTGTTGCAGAAACGGGTAAATCTTACTCGGTGAGGCAGACCAAAACGGGAAATATGTAGATTCGGGACAAATTTAAAATTCCAAATTCACTTTCATTTATTGATGGAGGTAAAACTGTTACGTAGGAAAACAAGAGTTAAGTCACAGCACAAAGGAGAATTCAATCAAAGAACAGAACTCATTTGGACAAAACACACAACTCCTGTTTCCTGCACTTTTGTGTTTTCTTCAATTTGAGGTGCAATGGTCTCTACTCCATGTTTACTGGTGGAGATCCCTGAATCAACACGTTAAGTGAAATCAGTAAAGCGCACGAGATAATCTAAATTTAAAAGATTCACTCATGTTTCAATTTTTGATGAAATAGAAATCATTTGTTTTTACCTTGAATAAGAGATCATGAGCAATGGTGTCCCATGGCAATGAGATGGACATTAAACAGCATTTAAGAGGGAACATCTCGTCTTCATCATATGAGGCGGTAGCAGCTGCTATTGCATGTTTAGCTGCGACAGATGCAACAGATGCTGCTTTACGGAAAATGGATCCGAGATCGATGCTCTTCTTCGAAGACATTGGTGAAACAGGACCTAAAACTACTTGGCTTTGATCTGAGAAAAGCAATTTCTATACAATCATCCCTTAATGCATACTACGTCTTCAATATACATTTTCAACAAATCCCCTACTTTCACTTTAGGCGATTGTATTTCAGAACATGTTTTTTTAATTACCTATATCCTCTTAGAAACCCGAGACAAAAAAAGCATTTGATGACCATAGGCAGTTTTTGGCTAGGTGCCTAGGTCAATAAAACTCGAGAACCGGGAAAAATCAAGAGCCAGATTCTGTACAGCAATTCAAGAAATAAGAAAGGAAGAGTACCTATAACGCCAGAAACAGCTACCTCAACTTCTCCACGTCCTCCTGGACCTCTCATATAAAGTCTGTCTGCTTTTCCTGTGTGATGACCAAGTGATAGAAGGCTTCCAAACCGATTCCTCCCCCCTGTAATAAAAGATAAAGTTGACAGACAAAGTTGGGAGAAAGAGTGAGACTATCAATTGGTCTAAATCGGAAAAAGCAAGAGCTTACTTTGGCTCTTTTAGCCCTTAATATCTTAAAATTACATGTCTACAAAAGCTAATTGTGTTTTCCAGCCATCTTGAAGTTGGGTATCGTTTTAGACACAGACCCCTTTGACCTCTACATGAACCATATTACTTCAAGAATTTAGGAGTTCGATTTTGGGTCAGCAATGGATTCCACTAAATTAGCAAATCATGAAGATGAAGACTGCATGTTCCCGACAGGTATGTTAACAGGTTCAATGACATCAATAACCACTAATGGATTCTGTGTGCTCTAGAGGAGGCAAGTTCATACTAGAAAGGACCCTTAAAATACTCATTCCATCAAGTATTTTGGGAGACATATAAAAGACCGAGATCAACAATTACAGTTCACCAAGACCATGACTCGAAACTTTGCTAGAGAATTGAATTAGAATCTATAGATGGATAAAACATAGAAAAGAAACTGTAAAGTGACCTTCATAGGCTTCTCGAACCATTTGATAGCTGACAAACCCAGAAAACAGAGTAACCTGGAACCAAAAGCATCAGCATGTCAATTTTCTTCCTTTCTCATTTGCAAGTCACTACCATGTAATGTGTCCATATGCCTTACAAACTATATGGCTTGAATCTAGGAAGCATATATGAGACTACTCATAGAAGGTAGCAAAGGAAAAATAGATGATTGGCAGAAACCGCTGAAAATAGCGAAACATAGATAGGTAACCACTAGACCTTAGGATCTTTCGCCCTTCTGGGGTCAGTATTCGTATTAGAACCACTGGAATCTTTATCAATTTTTCCATTTACACTTGGAAAGGCTGCCCCATCATGAGAATTAAGAAGTACACAATAGCAATGATCTTTTTCTGTCAGAACCTGCAAACATCAATGAAAAAGCCAATGAACAAGGACTCCAAAATTTATTACTTGGAAGGACGATATATTCGATATATAGTAAGGAGAACAAATATGTTACCACGGCATCAAAGGTTGAGTCAAAATCATCTACGGCAAAACAAATTTCTGGGTAGGCAGGTGTTGTCTCCACTTCCTAGGTACACAAGAAATATCATACACAAACTCCAAACTGATGAACATTAATACGAGAAAAACGACTATACTTGCCTTCTTTGAGTCCAGATGAAAATTAACTCGACTAGGTGATGCATATACAGTTTTTACAACCTGCATGATATGGATGCAAGATCTGAGAATATGATTATTATTGGCTAACAGAATACGAAACCAACTAGAGACTCGGAAGAAATATTCAGTTTATGTTTGGTCCAAAAATCCTGTGAATGCCCTCTCTCTTTTCTAAAAAAAACGACGCTGGATTCATAATTTCATATTCCGTTTCCTTACTCTTTGTCTTAATAGGCTCATGATAAAAAGAAGCTGGACTGACATATTTTGTACAGCAGAGTATATAACTACTCTTTGGCTTCCGTTGCTTTTTCATATGACAAAAATAAAGAAGAGCTGAAGAGTCGAGTAATTTCATCCAACACTCTTAGGATCTCTAACCTTGTAAATAGGAGAGAGTGTTGTGTCTTTACTTCCTTGGTACGTCTTCAGGGCCTCATTACTAAAAACACGGGGAATTCAATGTTACCATGATGCAGTAAAGTGGAGAGACGAAAAGCCATATGATATATAGAATATGGACCACCGAAGAAACAGGTCATAAAAATGACTCAAGGCCTAATCACTGAAACATAGAGGAGAGTATCTGAGATTCCAACCTAGGAAACTTTTTGACTGAAATAATGCAATAACATGAGTTTCGAAAACAAAATAAGGAAAAGAGGATAGTAATACTAGCAAACAATACATGACAGAACAAGAATTGTTAATGTAAATTAGACCGCGATGAAATTAGGACATGCTGACGCTAATCACAATCTGAAAGTGACATGGTTACCTGCAAATCGCCACCGTGACAGTGAACGATGTGTGTGCAACCATGTTCAGATAAAATGATTTCCTCCAATCAACGTCAGCCAGACTTTCACCAAGCAGCTCATCCAACTGGTTCAAAAGGGAGACGAATTCCAGTACCACACAACAAATAAATGGATACTTTGAAGATTCAACTTTGCAATATAGGCCATGAAAGAACAATCCTTTACAAAAATACATTTAGTACTGTTATACGTTACTTTCACCGGAGTTACAACCTAAGACCTTGTAATATACGATTTCTTCTTCGAAAAATTGAAATTTACTATTGACTAAACCAAACCTCATAAGATTTGTTACAAGATATCAGTATCGTTTCCTACAGTTTTTACCTTAGGTGCCCACCTGCGAACGAAGTAGGGAGCTGGTGCTTCCTCATTTTCAGTCAAACCATATGATTGACAGCTCTGGCAATAGTTATAGAACACTTCAGCAACCTTAACAAGCAATATAAACAACACGATGTGGTAATTTTTTTGGTTCAGAGAAAAAGGTGCAAGCCACATACCACTTTCCTTACAAAAAATAAAAGATCATCGTCTTGCCTCCTCCTTGACTCCATGCCGCGAATGAAGTAGACATCGAACACACCATGCCAGAAATTCGAGTCCATTTCTACATCTGACGCATCTTGCTCATCAAGAGACATCTTCCCTAACGATTTTGAGTGCTTTTTCACCATACTCAGAATCTCATGCCTGAAAAACACGAATCAAACAACAGAATCAACTTAAGCCACACTTAGAAATCTGGGACTTTGGAACATTCTTTATTCTTACACAAAATCTTGATAGAGGATCACATATATAGAAGCCATAAATGCTGAACTAGTCCGAAATCTTATATAATCATTTCATTGTGGAAGAAGAGAATCTATCAAAGCAATACTAAACGGAAACTATCTCAGTGAAATTCAAGCAACCAGAAAAAAAAAACTCCGAAAAAATTCAGTCTGCGATTACAATAATTGACACCAAACTACTGGAACTAAGTCACGATCAAGCATAGAAACACAAAAGAATCTGAAGTTGTATGATCCTAAATTCTTTACCTAGAAGGAGTCTCTTCTCCATCGTTGAGCATTTCTACCCTCGCGGCTCGCAAACTACGATTCTGCTAAACTCTTCGCGTTTTGATTACGAGAAGCTTGCGACGATCTCGTGATCGAATAGGGTTTTTTTATCTCTCTGTTCGTTTCTAATTTTGCTTAATTCGATACAAGAGAGAGAGAAGAAGAAGAAAGAAACAAAGGAGACACAAAGCGTCGATCTGATTTGGTTTTAGCGTTTGGCAAAGCCTTGGCCTGTTGCGTCTATCGGAGAACGAGGAACCTCAATAAACTAACGATTTGCTACAGTAAATAAATTTACTATTTTACTTTACTTGTAAAAGTTAAAATTTAATATTTTTCTTACTGCTTTTTTTTTTTGACCTCAATTTGGTGGACTTTTGGTTCATTTGATTTTTTTTTCCATAGATCCTTAATCTCGTTTTGTTGGGTTTGTCTTGGATAAAAATGGTCGAGTTTGTGTTGTTTGCTAACTATATTTGGTTTAGTTATTGATCACTGTTTGGACTTTGTTTCTGGAAGCCGAAGATCATGTCGGTTTAGTGTATTTGAACCGTATTTCACCGGTCTGATCCTCCTCAGTTTCTAATAAAAAGTTGGAATGATCATATGGAGTATGATTTATACTTTTTGGTAACCAATATTTTTTTGCTCATGATCTCTTTGAACCGGAGAACAAGAGGTTTAATTGAGTCTCCTCCTCGTTGTCGTCGGTGGTTGAACTCGGAACCACCTAGACTCTCCTTAATGTGGCCAGATGGATATATGATTTATTTATCTCAAGAATCTGATCTATCAATAAGAATAATTTTGTGGAGACATTACACATCTAATAATCTAAGTCTACATTATTCAGCTCCAACTATATAACCAATAGAATATCGAAGCTGAAGACTTCATGCCCTAAACAACTTCTACCAAATCAATCTCCCACGATTAGAAATGCTGGTTTAAGCAAACCGGGGAGCCTCGAACAAACCGGTTTACAATGTGAAGATAAACCGCGAGGCAAACAGTGATAATCACCGAAGATTTTGCACCTACGTATCCAACTACTTGACGTCCTCTCTCTGTAACTTCTCCATTGATCGCATCAAAACTCCTCATAAAGCTCTGTGATGTCTTCAAGATTACAAACTCAACGATCGATCTCATAGTCTCGAGTGTCACTCTCCCCGTAACATCGAACATGAACTTGCGATTACTAGGCACTGCTAATGTCGTCGAGATCGCTTCTGCCCATCCGTTTACATTCGAGGAAGAAGACTTCCTCTCGGTTGTTTCTTCTTCTTCTACTCCTGTATTATTACAAGACTTTGAAGATTTAAAGACATCTTGAGATGTTCTCATGAATGTCTCAAGAGCTCCGTTACAGACCGAGACAAGAACGTCTCGAGCACTGTCTCGATGTTTTGGATTCGTCAAGCCGGAGAATATCTGATCATAAGTGTTGATCCCAGATGTTTTCTCGATGTAGACTGATATAGCTGAGCTTGTGAATCTCTCGATGCAATCTGCTAAAAGCTCTCTACACTTATCATCACAGAGTAAACTCATCCATCTAGGTTTATCTATTGTTGTTGTTTCGATATCACTCTCAATCTCATTAGAGTAAAACCCAAGAACAAGATTCTTCGCAAAGCTACCAACAACGACGGAGACGAAACCTGTTCCTGATTCTGAGAAAATTTTCTCGACAACACTCGAATTCGATCTAATTCCTGATTCTGCTTCTAAATTCTTTGATTCGTGATTCGAATTATACCCACGGAGAACCCCAATTGTTACGGCCTCAGAAACCCTAGCTAGAGAATCAGTGAACTCTTTCGATTTAGTGATCTTCGCAATCTGTTTCAAGCTTTTAGGGATTTCGTCGGAATCTGATTCTAGAAACTCCTTCAAGTCTCGAGACAGAATACTTATCGTCTCGGCGGAATCGATGACCAGTTCGGCGAAGGAAATGATTCCTCCGAAGAGCTTCATGAGACGCTTCGTCTTCCTCGCGATGTATTGAGAATTGTAAACCCTGTAAACTCCATAGCCAGAAACACCGAGAACTGATAAGAGAAGCAGCCATTTCCTTCTTCTCTGAGGTGATATGGAAGCTATCTCTCTCAATCGAGCAAGGTCCATTGAAAACTAAAGCAAATTGAGAGAGAGAGAGAGAGAGAGAGAGAGAGAGAGAGAGAGAGAGAGAGAGATTTAGGGGTTACGATGATATGTAGATTGGGGATGGGATTGAAATAGGAATTGTGAAAATTTGTAAATTAGAAAAAGCGATGATTTGATTACGTGATTGATTTGGATAGAGAAAGACATGAATGTGGAACCACGAAGTGAGGAACTCGAAGAGACGAGAGAGAAACAAAGAACAAGTTGAAGAAGATGACGACGACGAATCTCTCGATTCGGTTGGTAATATTTAACCGTTTGATATGACGAACTTATGGAATCTTTCCGGTTTAGGCCAAACCATTTTTGATTGGCTTATATATACTTTTTGTTTTGGTGGCAAAATTGACTTATGTATATACATCATACATATTTTCTACATCTAAATCAAATTTTGTGACGACAAAAAAAATTGCAACATTTTCACAGCCATTATTTGCAAATAACTAATTTGATTATGTGAGCTTTCATTTACCCAAAAAAAAAAAATTGTCCATTTGGCTATGATATTTGGATTTAGAAGATGGTTTTCACAAGTTATATATTTGGTTGATTTTAAATCGGTTCCATGCCATTTCTATTCGTACAAAAGGTTGAATTTCTTAGTGCGCATCATTGGTACTCCATTGAATATGGCATGAGTTCTGATCGAAAAGGATCTCTAAAAACTTATGTTGGACCATATTTGTATTAAGGAAGAATCATATGAAGATGTCTTGATCTTTGTCTCTATCCCATTGTTCATCAAAGTCCGTCTTGATTCTTGAGTTTTAGAAGGCTACAAGCAGGACTTGGCCCTGAGCCCAAGCAAAGCAAAAGCTTGCAGCCCTTATTTTTACGTGAAATTCTTTTAAGGCAAAACAGCCCCATTTTTCTCTCTAGCTTACACCTCATACAAAAAATATGCAACTCAGGGCTAGCTCTGGCTATTAGGTAAACAAATGGACCATTTTACCACATAAAATTTCAAACTCATGATCTTTGCTACTTTTTTTTGGCTACTTGAGCAAAGAAACTTTTAAAATGTAAGGACCAAAATTATGTATAAAAAGAAGGATCGTAAGCATGAATTTGCCTAATTTTAGTTTAAGGCAGAACTTGCAATTGGTGGGACAGAATGGTTATTATTATTTTTTTTATTATTATCAAACCAAATCATAGTATCCAACTAACTTTTGCAAAATTCAAATTCAAATGCCTGTAAAATTATTGCAAAAATTTTAGCAACAAGAATAAAAAAAGTTCTGCCAATAATCATCTCAGAGTCACAAGCAGCTTTTGTGAAGAGAAGACTCATCACATACAAATATTCTGGTGGCACATGAGCTTCTTCATGCGCTGAAATCAAAAAAACCAATGCTCTGAGGATTTCATTGCCATTAAAACTGACCTTTCCAAAGCTTTTGTTAGAGCTGAGTGGCGTTTTTGGAGAAGGCACTCTCTATAATGGGTTTTGCTCCTGCAAATTGTTAATCTTATTATGAGCTGCGTGACTACTGTCTCCTATCAGGTCCTTATAAATGGACAAGCATACGGTGAAATTGCTCCAACCAGAGGGATTAGGCAAGGTGACCCGCTTTTTCCCTATTTATTTGTTATGTGCACTGAGATCTTGGTTCGAAAGCTGATGAAAAAAAGAGAAGGAAGGGAGAATTACAAGCTTAAAGGTTGCAAGAAGGGCTCCCTCAATCTCGCATTTGCTCTTTGCGGACGATAGCATTTTCTATTGCAAACAGAGTGATGCTGAATTAGATCAGTTAAGCCGAGTCTTGGATGAATACTGTCTTGTTTCTGGTCAGCGAATCAACTACCAGAAATCAAGCATTTACTTTGGAAAAAAAAAATTCCAGATGAGAGAAGGGAGCAAATAAAAACTCGGCTTGGAATCTCTCAGGAAGGTGGCGAAGGAATATACTTAGGTCGTCCTAAAGCTTTTGAAGGATCCAAGATCACCATTCTAGGCTACCTAAAGGAAAGGGCACAAAGGATCTCGAGATGGCAAAACAAGTTCTTATCTCAAGCTGGCAAAGAGGTTCTGCTAAAAGCTGTTGCTTTTGCCCTTCCCACCTACACAATGAACTGCTTCCTTCTTCCCAAGACAGTTTGTGATCAGATTTTTGCGGTTATGACATTTTATGGTGGAAGAATAAAAAGAGGGCAAAGGTATGCATTGGAAATCTTGGGATAAGCTTAGCAAACTAAAAGTGTTGGAGGAATTGGATTCAAAGACATCGAAGCCTTTAATTTTGCACTCTTGGGGAAACAATTGTGGAGAATGATAACTCAGCTGAATACGCTTATGGCAAGAGTTTTCAAGGCAAGATATTTTCAAGACTCTAATCCTCTGCAAACCAAACTTGGATCACGGCCCTCTTATGCGTGGAAGAGTATTTTTGCAGCACAACGACTCATCAAGCAAGGAGCTCAGGCTGTGGTTGGTAATGGTTCAACCATATCTATGTGGCAGGTCTTGTTGGGATAATTTTATCACATCTTAAACTTGATAATTATATGATATAAGAGATAAATATTCCTAAGATTTGTTATATTCATAATAGATATATTCCAAAAAATATTTATCAACTATTTCATATATTACGATAAAGAGGAAAAAAAGAGGTGGTATTCTCTATATATAAATAGAGAAGAAAACCTTAAAGAGGGGGGGGGGGACTTCTTTAACCAAAAAAGAAGCTAAACACACGAAGAAGAGACTACAGAAATTTCGAATGTCTTTCATTATAATGTTAAGAGTACTCAATTCGTTGTAATTTTGAAGATTATATCAATAAAGAAGGCTTTCATTCTATAAAATTGTATCGATTCGAACCGGTTAAAATTTGCCCAATCAGGACCAATGGCTGGACTGCAAACCGACAAGACCAATACGAGCCACAAGAACTGTGCCCCCTCATCTTCATAGAGCTATAGCCTCTATCAGGTCTGTTCATAATTTGATTGTACCTGGTAGTAGTGAATGGAACAGAGAGATTTTAAGACTTCTCTTTGATGATGAAACTTATAGGTTGATCAAAGAAATTAAACCTGGAGGTGAACACTCAAAGGACTCGTATAGTTGGGACTACACAAAAACAGGTCATTACACAGTCAAATCAGGGTATTGGGTAGCTATGAATATAGTCTTGGATATGGTATTGCATGGTGAGATGAATCAACCAAGCCTGGATCCCCTGTATCAGCTAATATTGCATGGTGAGATGAATCAACCAAAAGTTAAACATTTTCTGTGGAGATGCCTGTCTAATTGTTTATCTGTTGCAGACAGTTTGGCACACAAACATATCCTTAGAGACCCCACCTGTACTCGATGTCAATTTGGGGTAGAAAGTGTTACCATCTTCTGTTTTAGTGCCCCTTTGCTCGTCTGGTTTGGACTGTCTCGCCAGTTCCGGAACCACCAGATGCAGCAATGGAGAATGATTTATTTTCCAATCTCTATATAGCACTTACAATATTAAAAAGCCATCCCCATAATGGCGAATTGGAAGGTTTTGTTTCTTGGTTAATGTGGAGATTATGGAAGACGCGAAATGATTTTATTTTCAAAGGAGTTAACTGGAACGCACAACAAAGTGACCGGAAAGGCACATGATAATGTAGAAGAATGGCCCAAAGGAAAGGGATGGAAAATCATACTGTGAGTTCTCCTTCCGGTACGGAGAATCGAGTCTTTTGGGGTCCTCCTTCAGAAGGATGGATTAAGTGTAATATTGATGGAGCAAGAGATGAGACAAGAAACCGAAGTGGCATTGGATGGGTTCTGAGAGATTGTAGAGGGCAAGTGTTATCTCAAATTTCAACTACCACAATGTGTTGTTTGAATCTGATTCAAAGACTTTGGTAGAAGCTCTTTCTGAGGAAACGCCATGGCCTGCTATTAGCTCTTATCACCAGGACATCAACAATGCTCTCAGATCTCCTAAAAGTTTTAAAATTAGATTTTACCCAAGAGATGAAAATAGAGTGACAGATAGACTTGCAAAATAAGCTTTTTCTCTTGTGAATCATACTTCCAAATTGTATTCTGTTTTGCCAGATTGTGTCTATTCTTTAGTTGATGAAGATAAACAGAGTTTGTAACTTTTATTGGATTAATGAAAGTTGATGTTGAGAACAAAAAAATTTCAAATGCATTAAGTGACACTATGTTTATTTGGTCTTTGTTTTGTCAGCCATTACATATTCATGATGAGAAATAACTAAAAGGTAGGAGACCCATACTGACCTATTAAGGATTAACACGTTCTCTCATAAATTATAATTAGAGACTAAAGAGATCATTGCGTCCAGAAAAAACAAAACTACTAAACTGCGTCCAATAAAATTTTGAAAATTCCAACACATGTGGATACATGGCTATACTGCTAAATCGGTTACATTTCTGTTATTGGTGTAAATTCCAAACGTGCTATATTCAACATTTGAAAAACAAATTACGTACCATTTATATTGATAAAAAATACTAACAATTTGTTTTTTTGGTTCTAACCTATATCAACGTAAGAAATAGCTAGCGATGAAAAAGTAAACAATTCTTCAAATTAAAAACATGTAAACAATTATTTAAAAGAAACGGTGTTTAACAAGAAATGTATGGAGATCTAACTCAAATGAGTGGGGGCAGTTTGGAATCGGAAAATGAAGTTAATGGAGGCAATAAAAGGGATTTTGCATTTAGGCAAAACTTTAGGCAAAATTAGTTTACGTAACAAAGTTGCAAATCTTAAAAGGTATATAAATATGCATGGATATCTTCTAATTTGTAAAACACAAATAAATCTCGAGCAGAAAAGTAAACACAAAGTAAACAAGACAATGAAGTTCCAAATGCTATGGTTCGCTTTGGTACTAATAGCCGTCGAAACTAATGCAACGAAGAAAGGAAAGAAAGCAACAGTCCCAGCATTAATAGTGTTCGGAGATTCAATAATGGATACTGGTAATAACAACAAGCTCCCTACTATTCTGAAGAGCAACTTCCCTCCTTACGGCAAGGACTTTCCCGGCGGCTTAGCCACCGGAAGATTTTCTGATGGAAGAGTTCCTTCTGATCTACTTGGTAATTGTCTGATTCATTTTTTACATTTGTTTACATATATTATATATAAACAGTTATAACTCTTTTTTTTTTTTTATCGTGACACATTTGAATTTACACAAATTTATCTTAGCGGAAAAATTAGGATTGGCTAAGACATTGCCAGCATATTTGAGCCCGAATTTGAACCCTAGAGATCTTTTAAAAGGTGTAATTTTTGCATCTGGAGGAACTGGTTACGATCCATTAACGGCAAAAATTATGGTACATTAATATTTTTTTATCATTAAATGATAGCTTCATACTACAACTAATATTATTTTGATTTTTTTTTATATAGTCGGTGATATCGGTGTGGGATCAACTAACATATTTTAAAGAATATATATCAAAGATCAAACAACATTTTGGAGAAGGAAGAGCTCAAAATATCTTGGACCATAGTTGTTTTCTGGTGGTTTCTAGTAGCAATGATATTGCTCACACTTATTTAGCTCAATCTCATAGATATGATCGTACCTCATATGCAAATTTCTTGGCTGACTCAGCAGTCAAATTTGTAATAGTAAGTGTCTAGTCTAGCATTCATTTATATATGTAAACATCAAAATTGATAAAATAATATCCAACACTAATATTTTTCTATATAATATATAGAAACTACACAAACTTGGAGCTAAAAATATTGGAGTTTTTAGCGCAGCTCCAATTGGATGTGTACCATTTCAAAGAACGGTGTTTGGAGGTGTAACTAGAGGATGTGTTACACCTTTAAACGATATGGCAAAACAATTCAACTCAAGACTTTCTCCAGCACTAAATTCTTTAGATAAAAAGTTGGATGGTATTATCCTCTATATTAATGTTTATGATACTCTTTTCGACATGATTCAAAACCCTAAAAAATACGGTAAGATCATTTTTTTTCATTTGTACTATATATACAACATGAACTAATTTCTAAGTGAACTATCTTATATTATGTTTTCAGGTTTTGAGGTAGCTGATAAAGGATGTTGTGGTACCGGTGCTCTTGCAGTTTCGTATATGTGTAACTCATTGAATCCATTCACATGTTCTAATTCTTCGGCCTATATATTTTGGGATAGCTACCATCCAACCGAAAGAGCTTATCAAGTTCTTGTTGATAAATTATTCGACAAATATTTAAAACAAGTCTTGTGATGATAAACATCACTTACATCCTTGCGTTTCATTGCAGTTTTACATCTCATTTTTTTATGTCTATTCCCATTATTGAATTTTTAATGTATTATGCAGTATACAATGTATTCTTCAATTAATTAGCTTCAAAACTCTCTAATCAATCGTCGACAAAACAAAACTCACTAACTAGTCATTATAAGTCACTAACTCATTAGTAAACTTACTAACTAGTCATTATATGTTACGTGTCTAAATTTCATGAAATCGAGAAGCAATGGCTAGATGTATACAAGTAAATGTTAAGTAACTGGTTAGTGAGTCTTTTTTTTGTTGTCAACGGTTGATTAATAATCTTGATTTCATGAAATTTTGACATGAAATCATAAATCGCAAAAAGATTTCAATTATAAGCAACATTATCATCTCACAATTTCCTTGTCTGACTTATCGGTTCTTTAACTTTTTTTGTGTTTTTGTTGTTTTTTTGTTGATTTTTGCCTGTCAGTAAATTTTGGTTTTTTGGTTTTTCGTTCACTTTGTTGTATCTCTGTAAAAAAATCTAAAATTTGGTATAAATTTAACATTTAATCAAAAAAACAAAAATCAGATTGCTTAAAATTGAAATCCTAAAGGGCTTATACTGGTGCTGGGCTTCGTAAAATTGTATCTCAATTCTCCTACAGAGGTTCGGCCCAAAGGCCCGTTATTCAGGTCTTAGAAACCCTAATCTCACGACCACCTATATATACAAATCTTGTGTCTCCGCTAGGGTTTACTGAATCGAAAATGGCTGAAAGAGGTGGAGAACGCGGCGCTGAGCGTGGCGGTGACCGTGGTGGTTTCGGACGTGGATTCGGTGGTCGTGGTGGTCGTGACCGTGGTCCTAGAGGCCGTGGCCGTCGCGGAGGCCGTCCCGCGGAAGAAGAGAAATGGGTCCCAGTCACCAAGCTCGGTCGTCTCGTGAAAGATGGTAAAATCCAGAAGCTAGAGCAGATCTATCTCCATTCTCTCCCTGTGAAGGAGTACCAAATCATAGATCTCCTAGTTGGACCTTCGTTGAAAGACGAGGTTATGAAGATCATGCCTGTTCAGAAACAGACCAGAGCTGGTCAGAGGACGAGGTTCAAGGCCTTTGTCGTCGTCGGAGATGGTAACGGACATGTTGGATTGGGAGTGAAATGTTCCAAGGAGGTTGCGACCGCAATTAGAGGAGGAATCATTCTTGCGAAGCTTTCTGTGATTCCGGTGAGAAGAGGTTATTGGGGAAACAAGATTGGGAAGCCACATACGGTGCCTTGTAAGGTTACTGGAAAGTGTGGATCTGTTACTGTGAGGATGGTTCCAGCTCCAAGAGGTGCTGGTATTGTGGCTGCTAGGGTTCCTAAGAAGGTTCTTCAGTTCGCTGGTATTGATGATGTCTTCACTTCCTCTAGAGGATCTACCAAAACCCTCGGAAACTTTGTCAAGGTCTGTTTCTGTTCTTCGTATTAACGTAGATTTACTTTGTTGATTTTGATGATTCATTTGTAAATTTCAGTAATCTAGTTGAAGAATTCTCTAATTTAGCTGGAAATTGGAATGTAGTGTACATTTGCTTAGTTGTTTTCTGTGAGGTTGATTTGATAAAGAGTAAAGACTTCACATTTTTATGTTTGTGGTTCTTAACCTCAATCTGTAGTTGTAAATGTCAATTGCAATTTGTAGAAGGTTTTAAGCACAATTTTTGGGATTATCTACAACTCAATTGTTTAGTTTGTTGTGTGATTTATTTATTTTGGGTTTGATGTTGTTGGTGTCTATGAGTCAACTCAGTTTTTTGACTATGTTTGATCATCTACGACTCAATATCTTGAATAATTCTCTAATTTAGCTGGAAATGGGAATTTAGTGTACATCTGATGATGTGGTAAAGACTTTACATCTTTGTTTTTGTGATTCCTAATCTACCACAATCTGCAGCTGCAAATGTCAATTGCAATTTGTTGAAGATTTAGCACAGATTATCTCTGGTCGTACACAAATCAATTGCTTAGTTTGATGGGTGATTGATTGATCTTGGGTTTGGTGTTGTTGGTGTTATGGTTCTACTCAATTTCTTGATTGCGTTTGATTATCGACAACTCTAATCTCTCGATGATGTTCAACTTCCCAATTGCTTAATTATGATTGATTGATAATTGGGTCTGATGTTGTGTTTTTTTTTAACGATGCAGGCTACATTCGATTGTCTTCAGAAGACATATGGGTTCCTTACGCCTGAGTTCTGGAAAGAGACGAGGTTTTCAAAATCGCCCTACCAAGAGTATACCGATTTCTTGGATAAGAAGCAACTCCCTGCAGCCAAGGCTATCACCGAGGCTGACGACCAAGCTTAAAGATTGTACCCTCCTTCGTGAGGTTGAGTATTATCAGCTAAGAGAAATGGTTTTGTAGGTTTGGTTAATGCAAATGTCTTTCCCTTGTTTTCTTCTTTGGCCTGTCGATTTTGATTTTGGAGATTTAATTTAAAGACATCTGTTTTAGTTTCTGTCTTAATACTTTTGCTGCAAGTCAAACTTAATGAATATCATGTTCAATAGCATGGTTTTTAGTAGATTTATGTTCCTTGGTTTCTATATCTGCGACTTCAGGAAAGAGGTCTAGTCCTTTTTCACCTCCGCAAATCTGGTTTCAGTAGAAAGAATAGTTATCCAAAAACAAAAACAGAACGCTTTTTTATGTGTTTCTATTTTAGTAGAATGATAGGGAGGAAAAATAGAACTTTAAAATACCCAAATTTTTTAATATATTTAATTTATGTAGCTATATAAATTAGCTAACGCCACAAACAGTTAATAAATAGTATTAAAGGGGAATTTTTTGTGACAAATGTTCTGCAAAACTGAGAACATGTGAAGATCCAGAAAATATGATGGGATGTGTTTTGCGAATACTCTGTGACGCTCAAGTCAGAAAACAATTAAAAAGATCACTAAGTGGTTAATCGGAGAACAAAAAAAAGATCGGAAAACTAAAGAAAGAAAGTGGACTAAATGTTCTTGAGAATGGTGGAATCGACTTGGACTTTTAGTGGTGATAGGTTTTTTGTTGTGAAAAGAGAAGAAAAGAATAATCTATTAATGGAAAAGTTCTACGGTTTAGGAATCACCGTGGAGAGAAAGTGAAAAAATGGTCAGAATTATGACAGGAAAGTCTAAAGTGTTAGCATCTAAGACTCACAAATATCTAGAGATATTATGAATCTTAAGATAGCTAAAAGTGTGTTTCCCTTCCTTATTGGAAGGGACAAAGTATTTACAGGATTTTACCTGATCTGGGTTAGTATATCGGGTCAGTCCATGGATAGTGAATCGGGTGGATCGGTCTACGACCGACTTGACTGGGTTTGAATCTTGTGCTTGCGTCACACTTCTGACGGTCTCACCAACTTTCTTTTGCATGTTTTCTTGCTACGAGAACGCTTCTTGGCGCGTTTCTTTTGCCCTCAGTGTACGGGTTGGATCGGCGGTTTAGGCGTGGTATGACTCTCGCTGAATCTCTGCTTTTCTCTCTGGTTCCTGCGAAAAGTCACTCTCGCCTAACACATGTAAGAAAGATGTATTAAATGCCAATTTCATGGGGTTTATAATGGTATAGGCAATTAAATAAGACTAAGGCATACTCATATTGTCAAATAGAGAGAAATTTGAACAGTGTTTCCCGCTTATGGATTTATTCATACCTGGTCTGGATCCTTCGATACCGGATCCGAGCTGCCAGGATTGCTTAGATGGATGACTCCACTCTCCGGATATCTGTGCAGACCATATTTTTTTATATCCCGATCCTTCCAGATTATGAGCTTAGATCTATGATATAGAGAAGGTGACCTCTCCTCCTCCTGACCACTTATTTTCCGACCTCCTTGTCCTTGACAGCGTGGTCTGCGCTGTCAGACACGAGCAATTCGAGAACAGGTGGTTTATCGTGCCGGATCCGAATCGATTCGAGGTCTGATGCTATATGCTTAGGTTGTATTGGGCCGTAAGTCCAATACGAATCCTAATTTGACCAGGGGGCATATCTGCAAAAAAGCCATGAACACTACATGCAAGACGCGATTCGTCAACATATCAATAAATAATATGTTAAATTTAAATATATTTTTATATAATATATAGAATTTCTATTTTTTGTGCTTTTTATTAATTTATACTAAACCAAAAATTTTGATTGGATATATTGTAGAAGAGAAAATCTAGAATCAATATTTGTTCATAGATAACATATGTGATCTAATTATTAAGATAATCTCTTACCAGAACCAAATTTAAATTGAAGACAAATATTGATGCTTAAAACATCCATCAATGATTGTTGATATATAAATTTTTGATTGATTTTTTTTTTTTTTTATCAAAACTTAATCCATAATTTCATCCCCAATTACTCCTTATCTAAATGCAAAAATAATTTATATCTACACGTTATTCGTGTATCATGTGATCAAACGATGAATAAATGTTTTATAATTATAAATTTTATATAGTTAAGTAAGCATTAACTTAATTTCAAACACAAATTGAATTTGCAGTTCGAAAAAAAAGAAATAGTTGAATTTTTCATATGTATATTTATGAAGGTTCATTCGAGAGTTAGTATGGGATATCACAGAAAAGGATAGGAACACATAATTCTGGTTTTGAAAAAAATTACCAAGTTATAAGGTAAGGTGCCAATGAGAAAATACTGGTTTTGTTCCTACAACCCCACATCGTTTAAGATTTTTTCTAACAATCACTCTAGCTTTGAGAACATTATTAGCCAACTGAGTTATATCAATCGCGTGCCATTGCAAAATATGCCCCTTATATCAATGTTCATAAAAAGCATAATTGGACGAACATCAAGTTTTAAAATTTATTTTTTAAAAATTGTAATTGTTCTTTTTTTGTAAAATCTACCATGAGATTTCTTGTTGCTACTTATGAGGTCTTGTAATATTTTTAGATACACATGACATAACAACTCATCTTCATGTTGATTAAGTGATAAAATTTTTACCTTTTTCAATTATTTCTATAGAAAAAAAGAGTTGATCAAAATTTATTATTTATACACGATATGAATGGATAAAAATTCAAATGACTGGTCACAATAGCATTTAATTTTGGTCGAACATTTCCATTACTTCAAATCAGGGATACAAGATAGCTCGAAAGCCTTCTTTAGAAATTGCATCAGCCTTGACATTGGTGCTGGATAAAATTTCTATTTAACGGTTTATGACCTGTGAGATCTAATGAAAGGCATAGTAAATTCTCAAAACAAAATTTTCTGTTTTGTTAGATACATTGAATAGATTAGATATGACTTTAGTCTTGAGAATTAAATATATGTCATGCAATAAATCTCACCAAGTCACCATTCATCAACTGTTATATTAAAATCTTATCTTACCTATGCAATATATCCAACATATCATATAAGAACATTTTGAGAATCTAACATACGCTACTCATTAGATCCCACCCATCATCATTCTGTTATATTAAAATCTTATTCAATCGATCTAACTTATTCCACAAATTAGATAAGAAAAACTTAGTAATTTATCTTTGCTATTGATTAGATCTCAGGTTAGATAGAATTCCGATCCAATATATTAAATAAATAAAAAATCTATCAAATTGGTACATAGCCATTAATTTGAATTCTTATCCATCCATTATCATGTATAAATAATAGATTTCAAGCAATGAGAAATTTACACTTCAACCAACTATTCTTTATCTAATGAAAATATGGAAAGATATAAACTCATTATTTAGTCAATATGAAAATGAGTTATTATGTTCGCATGTATCTAGAGTTATCACGTGACCTAATCGATAATAGTAACCAATCCTTAAAGAGATTATAGTTACAATGAAAAAAAATGTGAGATGAGGAGTTAGAAGCAGTGGATCTCTTCAATGTAGAATGAATGCTATTATTTGTGCTGTTTGGAATTTGAAAAGTTGCATCACCTAGTCTGAGGTCCCATTGGGTGATGATTGGTTATGTTTAGACCGTTGTGGTAGAAGCTGCTCAAATTCCTGACCTAGAAGATGTGGTACAAGTTGCTCAGATTGCTGTTCCAGTAGGTGCTCAAACACTTCTACATAGATTTGGGGAGCAAGACACAAGAATGAAAACAAAAAAATACTAAGTTGAAGAAGATATGACTGAGTTTAAATGTTCTATTAATATTCTATTATTGAGTTGTGTTGAAGAAGAAATGACTGAGTTTAAATAAAAAACATTTTGAGCTGCAGACAACACAAGATGCATTTGCAAAAGGACACTAGAACTGAAATCAAGTTGCACAAGGATTGTCCAAGAGATAGAAGATGTGAAGTTTAAAACTAAAGAAAACAAAACTATGAACTAGCTTTGAGCTCTCTTTGTTTTGCTAAAATGAAACAAGCAAATAAAATAGAAAAGAGCTGTCTTAGATTGTTGGCTCTTATGGGGTTGTGTTATAGGGTTAATCAGAATATTTTTTTTATGGATTTTTATGATGCACTACTTTTTGATGACAAATTTTAATTTCCTATACACCATTAGAATGTTTAGTGTGGAATGAAGAAAACTCACCCTATAAAAAAATTTATATTGGGTGATGTATCTTTTCAAATATGATTTTTATCTAACAATTGGTGACTAGTGAGATCTAATGAATTATGTAGATTAAATTCTCCTGCTTTTCTTAGATAATTTGTTAGATAGATTGAATAAGATTTTGATTTAACAGTTTATATTTTATAATGATAGTGATATCTAATGAATAGTTTAGATATTTTTTAAAGGTTTCTTTTCTAACATGTTAAATAAGTTTGATAAGATTTTAATGTAACGGTGAGATGTGAAATATAATGCATGGTATAAATATTGGAGTAAAATTTTTTTAAATATTTCTTAATTTGTTTTTTTTTTTTTTTTTGTAAAATGTAAAGATTATATCACCAATATTTGATTTCTGACAGAATTACAGGAAAAATAAGAGACAAAAAAGACAAAAACAATAGAAGCAAACTATAACAAACAAAAACAACATGCAAGACTAGAAAAGACAACCTAACAAAACAATCTGAGAAGGAACCAACAGAGAGGTCGCGGGAGGAGCAAACTACGAGAAGGGGAAGCATTGAAGTCTAAAACTCCACTGATGTCGCCACAAGATACGTGTTCCAGGGCCGTCCTCAAAACCTAAGAAACACGAAGCTTACAGCTTCAACATGAGCCAAAAATACCTTCTTTGAGACTATCAAGAAAGCTGCGTTCTGAGACCACCGACGGGTAAAAATTGGCCTCGTGAACTAAAATAGCAAACCCAAAAATAACCTCATTGAAGCCGAAACCACCAAATACCCCCGCGAGACAAAGTCGAAAAAGTCTAGCTGCAAAGGGGCCTCATCCCGAGCACTGGCACCTATACACCAAACCAAACCTATTTGAAGACCATCTCAGGAGCCTGAAGACAACCTAGACATAGCCGCACACTGCAGAAACCGCACACACTCCGATGAGAGACATCGGGCCACCCAGAAGAGAAGACGGTCGAAGAACCCCTCTACCATGGAGACACCAAACCACACCGCCTACCACCTTCCGCCTTAGAAAACTCGTCAGAAGAGCTGCCCACGCCGAAGAAAGGTGAACCCCACCACCCAAGGCTTGCCACTAGATCAAATAAACTCACAACAACAATTGGTAGCGAAATAGCCCCTTCTCTAGGCAAAAAAAAGCCGCCGCCGCGAGTGAAGGTTCAGACTTACAAACACCGTCACTCCGCCGCCTCAGAAAATGAAGATCTGAATGGAGATGAGGATGACCAACTTCGGATGGAAATAGATGACTGCCACCACCGCAACACCCAAAGAAGCCGGAGGTGCGGCGACCCGACAAGAAGAGCGCTAAAAAGAAAGCCGAAGCCCACTGGCAAGAGGAAAAAATGGAGAGAAGCGAAAAGGAGAACACTGTCTGGAGATACGATGAGGCAAAAGAAAATAATAAATATGAATATGAATATTATTGTTTAGTAAAAATGAATTTTAATATCGGAGTTTTATCCTATTTCAAAAATCCGTCCTCTTTAGTTGATGGAAATGCAGTAATAGAGAGAAAAAAAATTGCAGTAATTTTGATGTTTGATTATCAGTCTTGCAATTATATACCGTGAAAGAGAATATGTTTACTAAAATTTTAAACAAGTGTCAGCAGTTCAAAATTTTATTATTTTCTATGTTTTTTTTTTGGACGAAACTCTTTTTCTATGTATACACACGAATGATACACGTTATCTTTAACAAATCTCTAGTAAGATTTGGCAAGTGGTCGTATACTCTAGGTTGGTGGCGAATGATTCGGTCTCCAAAATCGAGATTTTTGGAAGGAATAATTTACATTTTCCGAAAATATTAGTTAACCGCTGATCCTGCAGAAGTTGAGAGACTAGAGATCTAAAAGCCTGAAACGTCTTAATTATCCAGAATACTAAAACTAAATTGATTTGCTTTTGAACATATCTGGATTGACGAGAATTTTAAGGTCTATTGTCATGAATAACTTTAAATTTTAAAATACATTATAAGAAGTTTTCAACTTAATTAGTGCATGAATATCCACTTGGCGTGTTTGCAAACGGGAGACATCCGTTTTAAAATTGTCTACATAATATTTTTCATAATTTCTAATAGAATAAAAGCTCAATGTTAAAAAAAAATAATAACTAATACAGCCAATTTTATTGTTCTTTTTTTTGTAAAACAAATAATAACTGGATAAAATAATATTCACTAATAACTCACAAGTTACTAAAAATATATGATTGAATATAGATCCGTATAGTTCCGAAAGATATTGCTAATGTATTAATATTCTCAATATCTAAATTGTAAAAGTTAAGCAAACCAAAGCAAAACTCTAATTGAGTTAAGAAAAAAAATAAAAATCTAATTGGATTTAGTAGATTGACTACTAGGGCAAGACATAACGCATAGCTCTTCTGCTCTTCTTCTCTAATAACGTTTCTCGAATATGACGTTTACGTCAGCTTTAACCAAGCAAGGCTGACCATCACTAGTCATACACTTAGCGAGCTTGGAAGAGATCAAAGCGGATACGCGATTTCGAATCCAATTTTTTACCTTTAGCGTTGACTTGTCCAACACGGAATCTATGTCTGACCAGAAAAGGGAAACTCGCATACGAGTTCTGTTGAGATGAGTCTGTATTCTTTTACGATCTCTTTTCCATTAGGTTTCCATCGTCGAATTCTTCTTAAGTTGATAGAGATTGAGCTTATGGTGTTTCCGGATGATTCCAATGGATTAACGGTGAGATCGCACTCTAATCTTACTAGTTCCATTGAGCCAAGAAGAAGCAGCTCGATGATTTTTTTTTGGTTATGGGTTTTAGTTTTAGAGTTACTCGGGGTTTACTTTAATAGTAGGGGAAATTTTGTCTAGTTAACATTTTAATTTTTCTAACAAGGACATATTAAAATTATTACAAAGCACATTAAAATTCCGAAACCTAATGGAATAACCTATTTTAAACCTAACCTTGCTCTTCAAAGATTTGGGTTCGATTCCTAAAGCATTCAATTATGAACAAAAATCGAGCAATACCCTCCTTGCTATCTAACAAATTTACTAAATTACTTCTTTCAAAAAGCTAATGTTATCTGTGCAATTGAAGCTGTGTTTACAAAATAACGAACCGCACTATGTGGAAAAGAAGTCAGAAGCAAAAAGAGCTCTTTTGCTTCTACTCATTCTGTTGAAAAAATGTATTTCTTTCTTCGCAAGAAAATTTGAGTATTTATACATTTTGCTCCGTTACATTTCTTCTTGCAGCAACTATAAAATGTACATCATTATATCTCTAAGCAAGAAGACTGTACATGCTTTAATGCTTTCCCCCATTTAGTTTCCTAGAGAGTTTATAATGACTAAAAAGCAACATACATCTATTTTTCTTTCAGTGAGTGTGTATTCTCATTTACCATTGGCTCCTTTTGGAGCTGAGCTTCTTCGACAGAAAATTCTTCTGTTTAAACCACTTTGAGGTATTAGAGCCTCAGTGATTGAACAAGCACATAGCATTCATTACTTCACTAGTAAAACCGTTCTAGTTCCTTTTGTGGAGTTCGATCATCTTTGGGGTAAGATGCTCTGGTGAAGAAGCACCAGGACACGACTTGACGTCATGCTCTTGACAAGATTCATTGCCCTGAAAGCCCCATAACTCTTTAGCTATGGCATCCCCTTCCTCTGAAAAAGAGTAGAAAAAACGTAAATCTCTCATTATTCTAATCATGTGACTCATACAAAAACATTAGTATGAGATGAAACCTGGCTTCAATTTCTCAGGATCCGGCAACTCCTGACTTGTGAAAGGAGTACTGCTTTCAGCTTTACTCGATGATTTCTGAGAGTGTAATGGTAACTGAGAGTATACACTATGCAGTTTCTTATGTAACTCTTCCATCTTTCCTGACATTTCATCAGCTCTGTCCATGTCTATAAGAACCTGAAAGCAACTGATTTATCAAGCACCAACTAGAGCATTCACCAAAAAAGCTTTTTGTTACAATTGAGTTACCTGAGCAGGATGTTTTTGGAAAATGGGAGCAAATCTCTGCCGACAATACTCACTAAAAAGCAGAGTGAGAAGAATCAATGGTATGGTGAAACCAGAAGCGACCGTTGATAGCTTTAATCCGAAAAAACCCAAAGCTATAATCTGTGTCAAGATCAGTGAAAAGATTGTTGTGTTGTGGAAAATAGGCCAGTATTGTCCACCGCTTTCGTATTTTGTAATGTACACGTTCAGTATCTGCAAATGGAAACAACTCTGTGAAAAACCATATCCAAAATATTTTTCTTGTTAATATCCCACAAGTTGTCTAATAAATTAAGCTCATTGTTCTAAGTTTCACGAATTTAATACAAGTCCATTATGATGCTATCAGAGCTTTGTAGTGATATTATGTAAAAGAGATCAAGTAGAAACTTACCTGATTTTTGTATATCAGATATGCAAGGAAAAAGTATATCAGCAAAAACGGAAGAATTAGTGGCGCTATGACTGAATTGGTAAATCCCAGGAGCCCAAACAAAAGCAGCCGAGGAATTTCGGTATGGTATGGGAACCTAAGTGTTTCATATGAGTCGTCCTTGTTCTTGACAACAACTTTTGCTACCAGATTCCAGATAAGAGCCACAGGTTGCATTATTTCACAAGCCAAACTAGCCCAACCAGATGTGAAGCAATAGGTCATGAAGAAGCCAGCCTGCATTCATGATTGAAGCCATTTTCAAAATATATGCTACCATTTAAAAGGAGCTAGTCTAAAGCAACCAGAAAAGCTCAATCCACAATATGAATGAAAAAGTGAGTGAAATTACCTGTGTGGGCACTGCTCTTGCAAGTTGTGCAGGTATGTCTCTGACACTAGAAAAGACATTCAATTGCCTGATAACAGACCCAGATAAAATATTCACGAAGAATACATTCCAGATGGTGAAATATAAGACTTTAATGCAAGCACTCTTCTTTCTTATACTCCGTGCAATGCATCCTTCCAGGGTTGAAAAATACATCATTAATGGTGGAACGGCATAGAAGAATAGAATCAAGATCACACTGGGTAAGTACCCTGTGATGACCTGGTTTATAAACCTCCTGCAAAATGGTTTTAATGATTGATTACCTTTAAAAATGATAAAACAAATCAAGAACATAGATATTTGGTTTCGCTTTGACTCTTTTTTCATATGGTTTTTAATTGAACCTGCAGGGTACTCACTTCTTCAAGATGCCTCTTAGAAAAGGAAATGCATGAGAAAGCTGCTCTAGTTGAGTCAGCCCTTGAATGAAGGTCACAGGAATAAGAAACACGAACATGAAGGCAACTGCACCAACAAGAGTTGCTATTCTCCGTATCCAAAGTTGTCGATAAGGTATGTTGAGATTCCTCCAATACACATCGTGTGGTTCTGGAGCTAAGTCCGTCACCCATAACATAGGATTTGTTGATTGTAGAACCTCTGAAACAACAAAAGCATCGTAGCGTGTCTTGAAAAACACAAAAGCAGCCGGACGTTCCTGCAAACGAGCAGAACATTTATGTGGCTTGAGTTACCTATTCTGCATTATATAAGTATTTCAAATAGCACTGCTACTTCTAATCTCTAGTCTCTAGCAACAAAAGTGCAAATCTTAATGGATAAGATTGTAGTATATGATACTACGAATCGTTAATCAACTGATTAAACCAAACTTCACAGTATCTGTAAAATCATACAATCGAACTGCCTAGAACAGGGAAAGTCAGAAGAATTCCTTACTTGCTCTGTCGTAGTCATAGTCAACTCACCAAGCTCCACTCCTTGGACACTGTCACCCTCATTAGAGAGAATATGAAAAGAATTTGTGGCTGTAGGTCCTCCACAGAAGGTGCATGGAGTCAAACTCGGTTTACAATTGATTTCAGGAGAAACATGTTTTAAAGTGCGGCACATCCTCTCCGCATCACGCTGAGACAGAAATTGAGATAATCTAAAGGTCAAACATTTTCCTCGGACACAGAACATTGAACCTCATATATGTTATCACAAGCACACACCATCCACACATCATTTACCCAAATTTCTAACTATTTCCGTTTTGATTCCACAGGCAAAGAGATAACCAGTGAGAAATTGATGTAGTAATATTGAAACAACCACATCATCAGAAATCATAAGCTATGAATGAAAGTGCTACAGATAGAACCTTTTATATTCCATGAATATGCATCTAAATTGTCTCCCCCTTTTAGCTGATACTCGATCTACATTCAACCATTACATCTACTGTTCTATGTAAGATCATCAATCTCAGCATGGCATCAAATAAATAACCCTTTATAACATCTAAGCAGCAGGTTATACTTGAGAACCATAAAGTTTTGCACCAAATCAGGAAACTATCAACAAAAAAATGAATACCGAAATAAGAAGAAAGGTATAAAGCAGGCAAATTTTTCAAATCATTTTCACAAAGAGCAATAAAAAAAAGACCATTAACTGGTCCCAGGGGAAAGCTTACCAGCAGTCTCTGGATGATGCCATTGTGGTAAACCATTTGATGGGACAAATAGCTTGATGAATAGTAATTTGTGAAGTATTTGCTCAGTGTGTCGCTGTAAGATTGATCAGGAGACCACGGAATAGCACGGATAAGAACGGTAAATTGACTTGGCTTTGTGGCAGATCCAGTAATATGTCCAAGCCTCATTTTGGCTATGGTCCTATACTCCTACAGTTAAAGAAAATGTCTAAGGGGAGGGAAAAGTAAACTAAGAAGAAGGTAAAACAGAGGAACAAAGAGTAAGAAATTAAGTATGCATGAGATGAACTAAGGCACGAGGTCCTTACAAAGTAGAGAAGAAGACATGCTGCTGAGGTTATAATGTACAGTGCAAGACAATGAACCCATAGCCTGAGTATAATAAAGTTACAAAAAAGAAAGATCAGCACTAACATTCTTTGTATAGAATAATGTTGAACTAACTTTTTCAATTATTGCTACACATTTCATAAAGCAATATCACATTTACCATTTTGAGCCTTCTTTAATATTTTCGATTGTGAACACTTCCGATGACTCCAAATGGATTTCCTTATGCACCATTGGTTGCCCATAATAATTAACAGGCAGCACAAAGGCAATGCAAACAACAGCAGTGATAAAGAAAATACGAATGCTGCAGGATAAAAAAAAAAACTCAAGAGTAAATAAAACCAAAAGAAACACTAAGGAAAAAGGAAATATAAGATCAAGAACCAGAACAAATAAAAAGCATCTGGGGGAGTTTTTCCAGTAACCTGAAAATGACCATCCTGAGGAAAACCACAGCATCAAGACCAGCAGCAGCTAATAACTCATCTTCACTAGTTTCCCATGCTTTCACAAGCCAACTTGGAGAAGGCACAAACCTCTCATACCAAAAAGGATCATAACGTCTAGCCCCTCCACAAACGAGCCTTCGGCCAAAATAGACACAGTAATTGGCTGGCTGTTTCCTAAGTATGGAGTAAAGTGACAGAAGCACTATGCATATCGAAATATTGATTCCAGCAGATGTTAAAAGAGCTGAAATCTCCATCTCACTCTCAGTTCGACCCCCTCCTTACTAAAAATCGCAGGCAGGGACGAACTTCATAAGCGTATTAAGTCGATGGCCAACCAAACAATATAAAAAGAGGATCTTAGATCCGCAAAAGAGCTGTAAAGAAAAATCACAAAAAACAAAAAAGAAAACAAGTCAGAAAATATGAGGTTTAGAGCTCATAAGATCTTAGAGACATAGATCAAAACATGGTTGCTTAAAGAACTATATATGGCCATGAAGTAGATGACTGTTACACAATTAGCCAAACGTCTATATCGAATCCAAAGTACTTAACCTTGGAATTGGATCCTACCGTAACGGACTAATCACAGAATCGCCTCATTATCTATAAGCTACACTTTATATTCATACCTTGCCTTGTCTGATGTAATAAACTAATTAGAAAGGGATTAAACAAAAACCTTCCTAAATTGAATGATACGAAACTGGAGGAGATCAAAACAGGAATAAAATCATAAACAGTACTTATCCTTCAAGATACGAGCCTAAGATCATCTCAGAATTGCATTATTATCTATGCTAAACTCAAATTTTATACCTTTACGGGTTAGAACGGGATTCAATTATAACCTCAACTTTCCTTAATTGAATGATACGAAATTGGAGGAAACCAAAACAGGAATCAAATCAAAATCAGTACTTACACTTGCAGGGGAAGTTATTTTTGTTAACATACAACATAAATGCTCTTAGATCCAATCCAAGTTATCAATTTCTGTTTTCCCAACACAGTATATTATAATACAACTTTTCCTTCCCTTCCCAGACTCAAATCTTATTGTCCATTATGATCCTAAAACTTCGAAGTATTACTAAGATAGAACGAAACGTAGAAAAAACCCAGAACACCATGAATCAGTGATTAAAGCCAGAGATTCTGATTCCCAAAAATCAATTAAAACCAATGATGACCTGATTCGTCAAAAAACAGAAACAATGCGAAGTGATGAAACAAACATAATAACCAAAATTGAAGAGATTTCAAACAAAACAAAAAAATCGCCATTATACTTACTTTCCGGAGAAACGCCAAAACTTTGCTTTGACTTCAGAAAAATCGATTGCGCACAGAATCAGAAGAATTTCAGAAACCCTAAGGAATCGCAGAGAGGAGAAACCAAAAAAAAAAAAAAACTGAAAAAAATGACACTAAAATTGCTTCGCAATTCTAATTTTCGCGAAGAGTTCGCGTTCCAGTTCATATCTTAAAGAAACCAACATTCAAATAAAAAATATAAAGTTAAATATATAAAAGTCGAAAAAAATAAAATTATGATAAATAATAGTTGAGGAATGCCACGCTGTGTGGCCGGTGTGAGACGGGTGCGACGATTACGCCACGTGTCGTAATATGATGGTCGATGGCCAAAGATTTGATACTATGTGAGAGCGACTACTCTGTGGACGAACTTATGATGACCGTTCGATTTTTAAGATATGCTTAAGATAGCGACACGTGTGTTATGATCAGTTGCATTTTTGGCGTGACGCTTTATATTCTTCCAACATTCAAGTGGTAGTTAAAACTGTTATGACTGGGAGAGAAAAAAAGGAAAGGTGAAGGATTTTTCATGTGATTTTCTCGCTGTGTGGTATGCATAAATTTATGGTACGTAAATGTTAAATATAATATAATTGATAATTTTCTCCTTATGAAAGTAACATGTACAATTTTCTAATTTAATAATTAAGAAGTACCTTTCATATTAAAATTTTGGAGTTTAAAAGAAATTACAAAGGAATGACATTAGTAATGTCCACATCTATTATATCAAAACATAAGCATTTATTTAGTATTTGCTTTCCAAACACTCTCAAAGTTTTTTATAATATTTTATTTTATATTTATATTTAATTTCCGAAAATTAGTTATTAATTTCCGAAAATTAGTTATTAATTTAGATATTTTTAGGTTTCCTAAAATCTAGGTCATCTTTAACTTAAATTTTAAATTATTGGAAATTTATGATAATTAAATTTAATTACTAAAATCTGTATTTAAATTAATTTAAATTCCAAAAAATCAACAAAAAATATAATTAAATTTTATTACGAAAATTTAGATAATAATTTTAATACTTTAGAATTCTTTAAATACAGGTTAGATTTAATTTTAAATAATTATTTTATAATACTACATAATAAAAAAATATTTTATCGTATTTTATCATAATGAATCGGTCTAAAATATCAAATAATTTAGATTAAAAAATATTTATAGTATACAATAATATGATCGAACTGATTAGAGTTATATATATATATATATACTTAAGGTCTATGAGTTAATTTATAAAAACATATAAGATATTAAGATAATTTGAGACAATTAAACTAACAGATTAGCCAGTTTATATATATTTATAATAACATAAATAGTAAATAAATATTTTCTTATATTTTTTCATAATCAATTGGTCCAAATATTCAATATTAGTAAATATTTATAGGGTTATACATTTATAATTATAGTCTCATACAGTTTAGTTTGTCAAAACATGTAAGATATTAAAAATGATTTTAGACAACTAAACGGACGGGTTAACAAATTCATAGATATATAAATTATTTATGTGTAAATCTAAATTTACAAAATAACAAAGTTTATAATTAACATTAGATCAATGTATATTTAATTAACGTATACTCTTATTCTACTAATATACAAATTTTTACTATTTAAAATTAAAACATAATAACAATTTTTTGATTTAAAAAAATAAATAACAAAAACTAATTATATCTAAATAAAAAAATTAATGCAACTTAGATTAGAAATAGAAAGTTCTCGTGCGGACGCACGGGGTTAAAATCTAGTTACAATTAATATAAATACATACTCTTATATCATAATTTTAATTTGTACAGGAAATGAATAACTAAAAATAAGAATTATTCTATCAACCCGACAATAATATCTAGTATATTTCAAAACTGTTATGAAAGTCAATTATAAACAATAAGAGAAAATCGTAAAAAGAGGCATATTAAACGTGATAAATTATTGTGGAGTTCACCGTCACTATTTACGCATAGTAACTAAATCTTTTTACTTCTATATATATGAACGAAATCGTTCATTTGTAAATACACTCGAATACATAATATCAAAAATATTCCTCCTCTCTCTCATTCTCTTGTTCGCTTTTTATTCGTAGTTCTGTTCTTTTGCGGGTATAAAATTTTTGTTTTTATTTATATTTATCTTTATAATAAATTATACATATTATAACATGTTATCAGCACGATCACTCTATGTTATAGCTAAATATATATTCATAATATATACACTACTATAATAAACGGTATGTCGCTTGTATAACTATTTATTATTTTTCAGTGGATGTTAACACACCACTATTCATTCAATATTATAATGGGCGGTTTGTTGTCTTGTTATTATTTTATTATTTTTATATCATAGATGCTAAATACATCATAATTATTTACTTATTAATATTACAATGGCCGACTGTGTCGCCTCATAATTTATTTATAAATAAATATGGATGATTAAGTCATCATAATATTGCTGTTAAATACATCTTTATATAATGGTTATTATATAAGGAGACTCTACAACCTGTATATAAATCTTGTATCTAAAAATTGATAGATTTAACTGATTGCTTATCAAAATTTTCTGATTAATTATTTTCTTCAATTCTTTTCTCATCAACGGTCACAAAAGGAAAAATTTTCAGAATTTTCCACTTTTCAAATGGCTATGAACAGTGTTTTCAATCTATAAATATTTCTATCCCTCATTCATTCATTTCACTCAAACATCATATCTTCTTTCAAATACTTTTCCGGTTTTCATTCCATAAGAAAGATGATTCGTTTGTTGTTGATTTTAAGTGCAATTGTAATTTTTGCTTCTACTCCCGAAAAGTATACCTCAACTGTTATGTTATTTTTCTATGCAATATTCTTTTTTGTAATCGCTTTAGTTATTCATGTAAACGGTTCGTTTTAATATAAAACATTACTATCTTACTAATAATATTTTTGCATTTATGTTTAGAAAATCAAATGATAAACATTGAGAAGCTTAAGTTTCCGGCTCTCAAAATAATTGGAGCAAACTACATAGCATGGATCACCAATGCGAAACTTTATCTAGAGTCAAAAAAGTTAACCGACACAATAAAAGAGGAAAATGAATCGTCTGCCCATGATAAGGCAACGGCGATAATTTCCTGAGGAACATCTAGATGAAAATGTGACTCATGACTATGCGCACATAAAAGATCCAGCAGAGGTATGACAAGCTCTCAAAGAAAGGTTTGACAACCAGAGGGAAATAAACCTCTCTCATGCTCTTGAAGAGTGGAAAAACTTGAGGTTTCAAGATTTTGAAAAGGTTGAGGATATTCTGAGAATAGTTTCATAACTGAAATACTGTGGTAAACCCGTCACCGATGCAGAAATGCTCGAAAAGACGTACCTCACATTTCGTAAGGAACATTGTATCCTACAAAAAATGTATAGGAATCGTGGGTACACGAGATTTTCTGAATTGATTATGACACTCATATTAGCAGATAAGAATAATGAACTTCTCATCAGAAACCACAATTCTCGACCTACGGGAAGCAAAGCATTTTTTGAAGCAAATGCAACGGTTATAGAAAAACCAGAAAGAAAATGTCAAACCAATAGGTGTCGTGGCCGTCGATTCAATCACGGACGTGGCAGGACTTACAACTCAAAAAGGAGGAACTCATACAAGTGGGTTCGGTCTGAAAAAACTTCAAAGGGGAAAGAATCCCAAGCGAATACCACCCAGAAGCGTGAGGATGTATGTTACAGATGCGGGTCTAAAGGACATTGGTCTCGTACTTGTCGAACCCCTCCACATCTTTGTAAGTTGTTCCAAGAGTCTGTCAAAGGCAAAGGGAAAGAAGTGAACCTCACAGAACACTTCGAGGGTACATCATACCTCGACTCCTTAGACTTTGCGAATGATTTCGACGAGACCGCTATAGCCGATAGCTGAAATGCTTGTAGAGAGACTACTGAATAGTCTCCGCTAATGCCATGTATAATTATTACATTTCAGTTTTTAAAACGAATAATGTTGTTTCTCTCAACAGCATATTGTATAATTATTACGATTTCAGTTTTAAAACATATAATGTTGTTCTTACAACAATCTAATGTATAATTATTGTATGTTTTCTATGAATGAAATTTATGTTTCTTCATTAATGTTTATGTTAAATACAGAGATGGATCATATTAAAGATGAAACAACATCCAAGAAAAATGTTCGAGAAATCTGTATACCAGATAGTGGAACAACATATACTATCCTGAAAAAGAAAAAAATATTTTTTCTAACTTGAAACTGACAAAGATTATTGTCAATACAATATCGGATCCTGCAGACTTGATTGAAGGAACAGGCAAAGACAACTTTACGTTGCCAAATGGAACAAAATTTTCCATCAATAATGCCTTGTATTCTCTAAATTCAAAAAGAAATTTGTTGAGCTTCAAAGACATATACCGTCAAAGATATGACACTCAGTCTGCAACTGAAGATGAAAAGAAGTATATGTATGTAACCTCTGATAAGTTAGGCAAAAGACTTATTGGAAAAGTTTCCTGAACTCCCTTCCGGTTTGCATCATACTTATATAGATGCAATAGAATCACATCTCGTGACAAAACGAAATCCAGAAGATTTAACATTGTGGAATGATCGCCTCGGTCACCCAGGAACATCAATGATGCGAAAAATTATAGAAAGCTCACATGGTCATTCGATTAAAATCCAGGAGATACATAAGAGAAATAAAATGACATGTGCTGCATGTTCTCTTGGTAAATTGATTATAAGGCCATCACCAACCAAAATTAATAATGAATCATCAAAGTTCCTTGAACGAATTCAAGGGGATATTTGTGGACCAATATATTCATCATGTGGACCATTCCACTATTTTATGGTATTAAATTCCGCATCCAACAGATGGTTACATGTTTGTCTATTATCATCTCGAAATATGGTATTTGCGAAATTTCTAACTCAGATAATAAAACTGCAAGCTCAGTTTCCAGATTATCTTATTAAGAGAGTTAGATTAGACAATGCTGGTGAATTCACATCCCAAGCATTCAATGATTATTGCATGGTAATGGGGATTGAAGTTGAACACTTTGTGGCTCATGTTCATACACAAAAT